TAGTAAGGCACTTGTTACTAGAAGCGATGCACTTGTTCCTAGTAGCTGAACAAATCGGCTGTGATGGCGGGCGCTCCGGACTTTGTCCGACTCATCCAATCTGTCCAGGCTTCGGTGGGCTGCCAGAGGAGCTGCTCAGCAGTGATGACGAGCCAAGTGGGGCCTCCCCAGTGACAGTCATGGCTTGTCAAATTCGAGAGAAGGATGGAACCGGGATGGTCTCATTTGAGGTAATTAAAACTACGCACCTTTTCATTAGTAAGGGGTAGTTAAAGCTAAGGCCTGAACGCTACGACTTCTGCCCTCTCTGCCAAGCAACCGCAAGCAGCGCCACATGAGGCGTTGATGATCTGCTTATGGCACCGACCACGCGTCGACAGGCAAACGCGTTTCTGGGTGGACGATGGGCCTGAGGCTGCACGTCTGCCGGAGCTAGCTCCTTGCAGCTACAAGCTCTGCAAGCTGGAAGGTTTTGTTGAAAGAAGCTCTGGTTAGTTCTTCCAGCACCAATTTTTCGTCAAAGTTGATATCGTTCTCAAAAGAAGCCTAGCGGATGCCTCGGCGTGGAGTCCTTTAGGTCGTTGAACATTAGATGCTCTTGAAACGCCATCGTGCAGATTCGAACCTTTCGGAAGAGTTGACTTGCTGGCCCCCTATATGCTTAGTTGACCTGCAGACAGAAAGGCAGCGACAGTCCGGAAGAAGCAATTTAGATTGTTGACGGGAAACGATCTCCTGGACAAATTTTGATGGATCCAGAGACCCGGAGACTTAAGAGTAACAAGTGCATCGCTACTAGTAACAAGTGCCTTACTAGTAGTAACAAGGAGACCTTGTTTTTTTTCCACCACACACAAACAGAGGGTCCAAAGACCCAGAGAAGTCGCCGAGTGCAATCACACAAGGAGGTAAAGCGATGAAACATGTTTCGTTTTTGCCAGGATATAAAGGTTCTCTTCCAGGACACTGCCGGAAATCTGGAGCGGCACCCAGGAACGCAATCTTGCAGACAGGTTTAAATCAATCTGCAAACAGGAGTTTGCATTGCTTGTCTTGGGGGATGAGGTAGGATTTTGTTGTCTTAGTTCTCTACACTCTTCATCAGTTGCTTGCAATGTTTGGTGGAGATTTTACGCTTTACTTAGCAGACTCAGCTTCATTCTTCTTGTTCGTTGTGTTGGATGCCATCGCTAGTAGGTTGGAGGCCGGTGCTATTAGGAGCAAGAACGCTACTAGGAACAAAGGGCATCGCTACTCGGAGCAAGGACGCTAGTAGGTTGGAGGCTTTCCTCTTTTTTTCTTCGACACTTTTGTTTGACCGAATTGGGAGACACCAAGGAGGTGAAGCTGACCGCTCACCCCACGGAGTTCCGAGAGGTTCTAGGTGAACGACTCAACGGTTTCATTTTTTATAAAGAAAGGCAGAAAGTCTAAAGAAAACAAGACACACGTCATAAAAGGCGTATTGTGTCGGCTCATGGTTGAATTTTTGTGACATCTTGTAAATGGTAGGGGGTAATTCCAGAGAGGCATTTGGGAAGGGACCGGACTGGTGAAAAGCCTTTGCAATAAGTTTCCCGAAAGGATCTAGAAGCCAAATCATTAGTGCGAGCGCTTCTTCAAGGAAGCTCCCTCCGCCCTCAGGCGGGGCTTCCTTGAAGAAGCGTGAGCTATCCTGCGTCCAGTTACTAGAAGCTTATTCATTTTTTACTTAATTAAGTAGACACCCACTTAAGCAAGTAGGAGCGGGCTCAAAACAAAAGAACAAACAGAACAAAAGAAGAAACAAATGAACACATGAAGACAAGTCTCTCCTGACATTCTTCATTCAGATCGTGCAGGTGAGCACTTCCGGAAGGTAGTCGAATTGACAGAGATTCTTGGCAGATTTTCTGTGGAGATGGGTACATACTTTCGTTGGAGATAGGCAGATGCTGCAGTGATCGCAACGCAAATCTGCTTAGGAAATACACCACCATCGATGGATCCCTTCAACAAGATGGAGAGGCCTCGGAAGTGCTTTTGATTGTCGGTCGAGGCTTCAGGCTCTTGTTGTCTTTGCTGAAACACGCGCAGGGGCTAAAGTCCTTAGAGGGCAATTGAGAGGAGGAAAACCTAGTAGCAATACTTACTGGCTTACTAGCGATGCTCTTCAGCATAGTAGCGTTCTTGCTCCCAGTAGCGATGCCCTTTGTTCCTAGTAGCTTCTTGCTCCTAGTAGCATGGCCAGGAGCCCCTAGTAGCGTCCGATCACTCCTAGTAGCGAAGTCCTTGGAATGCCTTTGCAGTTCAAGGTGAAGCAACAGTTCTTGGCTAGCTTAAGCTGTCGCCCCAGAGGGCACAAGTTGCAGGTTGAGCATGCGATCCAAATTGACAGACTTGGTAGAAGCTGGTCACCGGGTTCTCACTCTGTTTTCTTTTGGTGAGACCTTTCAAAAGACTTCTTGTATGCAAACATGTTCACAAAGACCTTTATGACTTCAGCTCTCGGTCTGCTATCCATTAGGTTCGGTGCAGAAGCTGGACCTACAAGAAACTTACGAGGAAAGGATCACCAGTGCGATGGCTCAGTGTCACGCAGCATCCAATACTGATACTGCAAAGATAGGCCTGTACCAGACTACGAGAACCTTCCATAGATGAATGATCGCTCGCATTACTTTTCGCTGTCCGTGGGTAAAGCTGAAAAAAACTATGTCGGCTATGTCAATCCTTGTCTCCGAAAAAGGAACAAGACAAAAGAAACACAATAGCTTCATGTTACTAGTAGTAGTGCCCTTGTTACTAGTAGCTGCTTGTTACTTGGAAGAACGGTCTAAAGGAAAAACACACATTCCCGTGCCCGAGCCGTCGGCCGGAGCCGTCTGCCAGCGCCCTTGGCATGAGGCTGTTTCTTCGACCCCTCAGAAGTGGTCTATGAGGCTAGTAGCGTCCTTTGTTCCTAGTAGGATTTTGTTTGTTAGGAATTGCAAGTGCATCGCTAGTAGCAACAAGTGCCTTACTGGTAATTACAATTCTAATTAAATTCTTTTGTTACTAGTAGTAAGGCACTTGTTACTAGTAGCGATGCCCTTGTTCCTAGTAGTAAGGCCAGGAGCCCCTAGTAGCGTGGCACTTGTTTCTAGTAGCGATGCCCTTTGCTCCTAGTAGCGTTCTTCGATCTCTGCCCATTGTTACTACTAGTAAGGTATCTTGTTACTACTAGTAAGGCACCTGTTACTAGTTTTGAGATAACTGTACATCCTTATTCAGTACATCTTAGTACCTTACCGCCGGTGCTACTTGTACCAAACAGCTTCAGTCAATTCCACTTTGCTGTGGGGGCACTCTTGCCGCTTTCTTTAGACAGGCTCTGAATCCTCATTTGACCAAGCTCTCCAGACCTGAATCGGCATCTCGGAGAGCGACAGCGGACCTCAACCTGTGCCCAGTAACATGTGCACTTTGACAGGTTCGCCAATACCATGCACTGCCGGGAGACCAACTTTGACCCACCTGCTGGATCGGCTTCGGGCCTTTTACAACTTTGTTTATAACTTCTTTGTTAGACATTACTACTAGCTTCTTGTTACTACTAGTAAGGCACCTGTTACTACTAGCGTGGCACTTGTTACTACTAGCTTCTTGTTACTACTAGTAAGGCACCTGTTACTAGTAGCGTGGCCCTTGTTTCTAATAGCGTGGCACTACATGCCAGCAACATGCGCCCTTCTAAGTTTGGAATTCTTCACATTCCGAGGCTCCAACGCTTCAGCCACCAAGAAGAGCAGCTGAAGAAGATGTCGGGACACCCATTCTTGCTAGGCTATTGCAACGTTTCAGCAAATCCAGAGCATCCCAAAAGCATCATAGTCACAAGCAAACACCTGACACTGATGGCAAGCACTGCTCCTTAGCACAAATAGAATAGGATACAGGTTGGGGACTCCAATGGAGTCACCTGGGAGTCTGACTGTGCCAAGGCTCAACATGCAACTGGCCGAGGAGAGCTGGGGAAAGAAACGACAAAAAGGATCATATCCTCTTTGGACATGCTTTTACAAAAGTACGGTACAAGGCATATTCAAAGTTCTGACTTCACAAGCCGGTAGAAGCTGGTGGATTGCCGCACTATGCCATTAGCAACTTTTTACCAATCCTTACAGGCCTTTACCCCTACTCTACTCAACCCTGAGAATCGTTTCACCTGTAGAATCAATGGGGTCAAGGAAAGATGTTCAAAGAATTCTTGTTACTACTAGTAAGGCACCTGTTACTAGTAGCGTGGCACCTGTTTCTACTAGCTTCTTGTTACTACTAGTAAGGCACCTGTTACTAGTAGCG